GGCCGGGGCGGGGCGGGGGGCGCCACCCGGGGGCGCCCTGCGTTTTCCTTGCCAGGAGGCACTCGCCCCCTCACCAGGGTTTTTTGGGAGGGTAGGGGGCTCTCCCGGGTCCCCAAAGTACAAATGGGGGAAACTGAGGGCCCGGGGTGGGTTCAGTTATTCCCCCGGGGGTCCCGCAGCAAGGTGGCCGAGGGGCACAAGTTCCCCCCCCGGAACCCCAAGGGGCGTTCCCGGGAGCCCGAAATTTTTCGGAGGTAACCCGCCGGGCAGGCCCCCAAATCCTGTCCCCTCCCCCGTGGGTGTCACAAAAGAAAAAGGTCCCGCTAGTCCCCCCCGGCCCAACCCCCGCTAGGAACTCCCCGCGCGGGGCGCTGGGCCCGGCGGCCCTTTCGGGGCGGAAACGCTGCGTGCGAGGCCGGAAGGCGAGCGCGGGGCGGTGCTGAGCTCTCGGGGCGGAAGGCGGCCGGTGCGGCGGCGGCGGCCCCGCGCCCAGGGCTCCCGATGGAAGCGGCGCCGGACCCCGGGCCGCGTCTCTGCTGCAAGCCCGGCGGGCGGCTGGACATGAGCCACGGCTTCGTGCACCACATCCGCCGGAATCAGCTCGCCCGGTACCGTCCCACCCCGCCGCCCTTCCCCCAGCCCCGCCCGGCCCGGCAGCTCCTGACTCCCGCTCGGCTCCCCTCAGGGATGACTACGACAAGAAGGTGAAGCAGGCGGCCAAGGAGAAGGCGAGGAGGCGGCACACGCCCGCGCCCGCGCGGCCCCGCAAGCCCGACCTGCAGGTGTACCTGCCGCGACGCCGAGGTGAGGCCGCCCGCCGCGCCCGCGCGCTCCTCGGCTCCGGGCCCTCTGCCTCGACGCGCCCCCTTCTCTCTGGAAAAACACACACCACCCATTTCCCAAGGCTCGGCTCATCGCGGCCCTTCCCGGAACCTCCGCCTCGACGCTCCCCAGGCTCCGCTCAGTGCTGCTTCCAGGAGAACAGGGAGGGTGGACGGCCCCCATCACGCATCAGTGTTGCGGGACCTAGCGGGGAGCCAGCAGGAAGCTGTCGGCCAGTGTGCCCACTGCACTGTCTGCCCGCATCCCCACTGCCTCACATCACAGGGGAAAGGCTCAGCACAGCCGCGGGCGACCGAGACAGAATGGTGGCCTGAAGCCCAAACCCAGCCAAAGGCACTTTCCCCAGATTCCCTGAGATCTAGGCAGCATCGCAATAGCCCACGCAGGGCGCCAGATTTGTTGAGCATTACAGTGTTGTTAGGTCTTCTGTACATTGCCACATAGTTATCCTAGGACCCCACAAGGTAGGAGCTCTTATTTATGTTTCACGGTCAGAAAAGCAGGCACAGAGAGGCCCAGAAGCTCAAAGCTCGTAAATGACAGAGCCTGGACTTGAGCCCAGGCCGAGCTCTGTCCATCTCTCCTCTACCTCCCAACCCTATTCACTACACAAACGCATACAGTGTGCAGGACGGTGCTGGCCCCAGGCCAGGCATGCAGAGGTCCATGAAACGGCCGGGCACGCATGTCACATGCAAGCACGCATTTCACATGCATGCATGCATTTCACATACACGCACGCTTGTGGAAAGATGGGGGCTTTTCTCTCTGTGGTCAGGGCCCCAGCGGCCTTCCCCTCTTCCCTCTCACTCTGGTTCATCCTTCCAGATGGCTCTGCCCACCCAAGCAACCCAGACTGTGAAGAGTCCCGGGAAAGCAGCAGTAGCGGCGGCTCCGAGCCAGAGCCTTCTGGCCGTCAGCTCTTCTGCCTGGAATATGAGGCGGACAGCGGCGAGGTCACATCTGTTATCGTGTATCAGGTACGCCTGGCAGAGACAGCTACAGCCTGACGGTGCCCAGGAACTGGTAGAAATCACTGCCAGCCCCCGAGCCACTGTTTCCATCAGGGTCAGAGGGGAGTGTCTGCTCCACATGGGGGCACAAACTCCCGGCAATGCTTTTGAGCACAGCTCCCGCCACACAGTGATCCTCAGCGGGCCACAGGGCGGGCTCATGGCCCTCAGTTGAGAGTCACTGTCACAGGGGATACCTGGGAAACGGCAGGCGCTGGCACGTGTGAGTCAAATGGAGTTCTTTGAGAGCGCAGTCTAGGGACAGGGCAGGTGGCCTTTCCGGAAGAGGCCAGACCCTGAGCTTCCTGACTCTTCCTCCACGTAGGACGATGATCCAGGAAGGGTGAGCGAGGAGGTGTCGGCACACACGCCTCTGGATCCACCCATGCAAGAGGCCCTCAAGTTGCGCATCAAGGAGGAGATTGCAAAGCGCCAGAGCCGAGACTGACGGGGCCGAAAGCATTCCCTCCAGGCTGGGGTCGCTGCCCAGGGAGCTCCCTAGTTTAGGGGTGCCAGGACCAGTCTGGGCTGATCTTGATACACAAACACACCCCAGAGCTGCTAGAGGGTGCTGCAGGGACAATGCCTGACCACCTTCCTTGTATGTTGGCCCATTGACCAGCCTGATTGGGAACTTTTGAGAATTTTGTTTGGCTAGCCTGGTGTTCTAGAAGCAGAGACGCCAGGGAGAGCCAAGGTTTATGAGCCTTATGCCAACATGCTGCTTTCTCACCGAGTTCATATGCCCTGGGATGGCTGGCCACTGCTGCTCCACCCAGCTCTGAACCACGTTATTTTAGGGTTCCTTCCCACCGGGCTTCTGCTCATGTTCATTCATGTTTTCTTAAGTCTTTTTTTTTTCAGCTGTTTCTTTGTTCTTTCCTTCATCTTTTTGTCTCCAAGTCCATCAGTTCCGCCCCACTCCCCACCTCCCAGTGTGACTGTACCTCCAGCTGCTCAGGACTTTGGAGGTTTGGGGTCGTGGTGGGGTGAGGGGGCCGCTACCTTTCTGACACACTCGCCCAGTAATCCCGATACCAACACAGTGAGAGATGTTCATTTTTGAGGCCAACTCCCAAGCATGTCTCCCTCCCCTGCCATGGCTTTTTCAAGTTTCTGTCATGCCCCACTGCTTTACACTATCTAGATAAGGAGACCTAAGAAGATGATGCCAAAACTAAATTGCAAGGATTTCTTGCAGCAAAACCTGCCTTGGTTAGGACTAAGCTAGAGTTCTAGCTTTCAGCCTCATCCCTTAAAGGGGAATTATCAAAACATGCTTAAAACTGCCTCTCCAAATGTGATTTAACAGTCTGGAACATAGATACAAAGAGCAATTCAACAGCAATAATTGCCTATTTAGAACCCTAGTTGCAAAGGGGGCGGGGGGGGAGGGGGCAAACAATGTCTCAGAGGAAATGAACCTCTCATCTGCTCTTCCCCTGCCCCATTCTTTCTCCTTTCCTGCCTCCCTAAGAGTATATAATCTCCCAACAGATCCTTATAATAAAAATCCCCGGAGTATCAGTGCTTTCACTTAAGTGAACATTTTTCCTAATGCAGGGTTAGGCTAAAGACCTGAGAAACCCACACTGCAGTTCCAAGCCACTTCGGTACATTGGAACCTTTTTAGTAATTTGAAATTTAGGGTTGATGTGAACCCATGAGCACTGAGACTTCTTGAAACCAAAGTCCACCTGCCCCAAGGGTTTCTCCACATCAGGGTCTCAAGGTCAGTCTGGCTGGTTCATCTCAGCAACGTCCTCTTAAAGGACACCTGAGGGCACTCTTAACGTACTAAGGTGCAGGTGGCCAGAGCTGACCGTGCCAGGAACGTCCGTGAGGTGGATTCCTTAGAAAGGCCAGGATGTGAAGGGACCAGAGTGCTCCTGACCCACAGAGCTGGCCCAAGGTTAAAGGCCTTAAACTTGCCGGTCCTGGGCTCAGTTCTACTCTTAAAGGGGAAAGCTTGCCCTCTATATATTCAGCTGGAGTCAAAGTGCCTTTTAACATAATGTTAACTACCCTCCAGAGCCTGGGTCATGGGGGCTGTGCCATCATCCCAGTTTCCCTGCAGCTCAGAGGACCAGTCATTTTAGTCTTCCGACTCGTCAGCTGATCTGACTTGGACATAGGATTTCACTGGAACTCTTAGACTTCCCAGTCTGGAAATACTTTGGGGTCCATCTTCTCTCCGCTGGATGGCCTGCTTCCTGGATTTATTAGAAAATTTAGAAACAAGACCAGAAGTGGAGATTGTAGCCTCCCTTCCTGTTTTGTGAGAAGGGAAGTGTGTGCCTGTTGTCTTTCTCTATTTGTCATGTAATCTCACACACTCAGGTAAGAAATTAATGAGAGCTCCTTGCGTGTAGAATTTTTCTTGCACTTTGCATATCAAGTGCATATAAAATATTTTCCACTCAAGAAAGATCGAATTCTTAATTTATGCAGTCTGACTATATAAAGCACTAAGCCTGGTGCTTAAATGAGAGATTGTCCTGCAGAACAGAACTGTGGGGGCTGAGGCTGCATTGCTCTAGGTGTGCCTGAAGTGCTTCTCTGGTGATGGCCCTCAGCAGCTTTCTAGCACAGGCTCGTTGCTTATTTTGCCACCCGTCATCTGGGATCTAAGATGGTATTAACCAGTTTATTCACCAGACTTACCTCCAGACCTCTGGCAGCTGTTTTCAAAAATCGGTGCTTTGCCTTCAGGGACAGTGTTCAGAGCATTTCCCACAGGCTCCAGATAAGTCCTGAAGGGGACTATCCCGCGCTGTTAGCCCAGTGGCAACAGTGTTGGACTAGCTGAGCTTTCCAGCAGGCTGCTTCAGATTCAACCCTCACTTGACTAGATACCTTCTTGGCTGTCTCAAAAAAAAGTCTGGTAGCCTGATTGGCATATCTCATGTCCATCCAAAATTAAGTGTGCCTTCACTTACTTAGAGTTAAGCCTTGGATTTTAAGGTTTTGTGTTTCCTGGGCCAAAGTGGGTAATGTTACAAATAGAAGGAAGCTGGGGTTTGCATGGGGCTTGGGCTGTGCAAAAAAAAAAAAAACACTAAAGCTTGAGTTCCAGCCAGTTGGCAAACATGGAAGTCTTTGGTGAACATAACGCAAGAAAAGAATGTAAAGCTTTTTGTATTGAGTGAGAGAGTGGGAGTCTGGAGCCAGGCCAGACATTAGGAGGACCGAGCAGCATGGGCAATAACAAGTGCTCTCTATGGAAGAGCCTCTGAAAGAGAGATTCCATCTCCATGGTCTACCCTACGGGGCACGCCCAACTAGAAGTTAGCCTGGAGAGCTGGAAGAAATCCTTTGGGGTAGTGGATTCCCAGCTGATTCACAAATATAAATGAAGCCTTTACTATAGAAAGAGGAATAAAGACATTATTTTCCTACCTCTGAGCCTTTGGGAGAATCACCATAGAATGTTGAAAGTTATTCAAAACATTTTAAGCTCCCTCTTTGTATTCCTGTCCTGTCCCTGAGGAATTTGATGGCCAAGGAGCCGCAGGCACCGAGCCTGAATTTCCCCAGTGATTGGAGTGAAGCTAGAAGTGAAAACCTGAGTGAATGGCTCCTCTTGCCTTTTCAGAGCCACCAGAATGACAGACTGGTTGAACTGATTACGCTATGATGTTAAATGTATAAAAAGCCATATAGTCTTCTGTTTTCTCATTTCAATGTTTCTGCTATGTAGATGAATAAAAAGTATGCAAATTATTTGAAAAATTCTGGAGGGGAGGTACTTTTCAAAGACTGTAATTTTTTAACCAATAAACATTATTTTTACAAGCACTGTTTTTGCCAAGAGTTGTAAAATCACCTGTGTATGTAGGGAGGTGAAGGTGAATGCCTGCTCCTAGCATTCAGCACCACAGAACCAGCACTTGAAATCTCATCTCTTGCTTAGCCTATTTTAAGAACTGTCCTGGTAGAAGTGTAACTCCTGTAGCTTTAGAGCTGGAAGGGACTTTTAAAGACTTCGGGTCCTACTTCTTATCTAACTCTCCCCTACCAACTACCCATTCTGTCACAGGGAGCTCTATCGGGGTAACTCCTTACTCATACTGTCATGTTAAGCCCAAATCTTCCTCCTCACAGCTCTGGAGCACTTGTCTACCCGATTTATGTTAAAACAGCCAGTTCAGAACTTAAATAGCCAGCTCTCTCAGGTCTTCCGGGATAAAGGTTGGACAGGAACACAAACCCAGATCAATAAGATACAGTGTTGGTTATGATTGGCAAAGCTACTAAAGAGGTAGAAAATGCCCAGGGCTCATGACACCATTGGGCAGATGAGAAAAAGGGGCCTGCGCCAATGGGAACACACCTGAGTCAGAAGATGGTGTCTCTGTGAATTAGAAAGAGGCCCCCCTTTTTCCTGGGGCACAGAGCATGGCCAGCAGAAGGTACCTTGAATCTTACACCCCACTGGTCCATTCAGCCTGGGTTCTTGTACAGTAATGGCTCTGTGCCGCCATACTTTAACTGCTTGTCTTGATGGGACTCAGCAAAGGGCTCTCCAGCAGGTTTCCTTTGTCCACTAATTTTTTCCCCTCCCTCTTTCCATTTTTAACTGTCACTGAGTCCAAAGGGGTTTCTCCTTTGTCAGTGCCATGTCTGGCTTATCTGCTCCATTTCCCTAACAGTACCAGCCTTTTAACCTTTCCCTAAAACGGCCTCCTGGCAGCCTGGGCCATTGCTCCCTTGCGGTAAATGATCTGTTGGCCCCGGTGTTGTCTCACAAGGGCTCTCAGCAGATGCTGGGCTTCCTTTTGGAGCGCCAGGCACCCTTCTGGTATGTGCAAGGAAGTATTCTGCCTGTTTAATTAGGAAAGGAGCCAAGAGGGCACTCTTGGCCTGGACGTTTTGATGAAGCTGAAGGGTAATTTATTCCCACAGAATTCTGCTTCCTTTTCCCAAATTGCTCTGGGTCGCCCACCTTCCTGTTACCTGCCAACACCTGGCCATGTGCGTCTACTTAGACTTGGATAATCCACTGGTTAAGTGTTGAGCAGTTAGGTAACATGTTTTAGACACTGACTTCTGGACAGTAGTATTCTGGTGTGCTTGTTCCCTTGAAAACGCATCGGGTGCGAATAGCATCCTCCGGAGTTTGCGGAGTCGAGGAAAGCAGAAGCCAAATCCAGGGCGCTTGACTGTAAGGCAGAGCAAGGCTTCTCTGCAGACCGCGTCGCCTGGACAGAGCAGGCGCCCGGCGCCAGCTGCAGAGATAACCCGAACTCTCACCAGCAGCGGAATGTGCCCTGCGGCGGAGCAGGCTTCCTCAGCCACGTGCACCGGGACGATCACAAGTGCAGCTGGAAGGTGGTGCAGCCCCCAGCTTCCCGCCTCCCGAATCTTCCACCGCAGGAACCCGGGCAACGGGACTAGCCTTCCCGCATCTCGGAGACAGAGGGGCTGCTGAGTCCCACGCCACGATCCTCACGCCCAGGTTCCCCGAAGCCGCGGCGCCACCCCCTTCCCACCGGGACTTGGGCGCGGGGCCTCGGGAGTTGTAGTCCTGGGCGGAGCGCGGGCCCCAGGACACTAGCGACGCGGACTCCAGGTCCCGGCGGGCGCCGCGGCGTGGCCTAGGGCGAGGGCGCGGCCGAGGGCGAGGGCGTGGCCGCCGGCCCTTTAAACCTACAGGGCCGCTCCGAGGGCCGCAGCCGGGGACGGCGCCACGCGGGGCTGGACGGTGCGCGGCGGCAGCAGGGCGCTCCGGGGAGGTGCGTACTGGCCCCTACTTCCCAGGACCCTCCCGGGATCACCAGAGAAGGCTCGTGCCCCGGGTCCGGGGACTCGCCTGCCGCGGGCTCCGGGCGCCCACGCGGGCGGGGGCCGGGCTGGGCTTCCCGCACGAGCGCGCGCTTCTGCGGGGCGCAGTGGTCGCGGGGTTGCCGGCGTGTGGCCGCCCTTCTACCGGGCCTGGACCCACACCGGGCTTGCCTGTGGCTTGGCCCCTTGACCGTCCTCACTGCTGCTTGGCTGCCAGCCCCGCTCCTTCAGGCGAGGGTGGGTGACTCCCTGTCCAGATGTTACGGCGCCACCTCAGCCCCTGAGTACCGGTGACTTTGGGGTGGGACGCGGGGGCCCCCGGTGGGTGTCAGAGGGTGGCCACGTTCTGGCGTGGGCTGAGCTCAGGGTGGGCACTCCGAGTCCCGGCGGGAGCTCCGAATCAGGTGATGACTACCTTCCTTTTCCCACCCACACCCCCCCACACCCCGGCCCCCGCGGCTTTCACCACTCACTGGACCCTGGACTTTGACCCATCTCTCTCCACCAGGCCGGGGCAGTTGATGGTTTTGGCGAAGTATCTTAAGGTAGCTGGGCCTGCCCCCTCTTCCCCACCTACCTCTTGTCATCCCTCCCACACCACTACCACCCTGGCTCCCCTCCCTCATGACCGCCTGGATCCTCCTTCCCGTCAGCTTATCAGCATTCTCCATCACTGGCCTATGGACTGTGTGAGTGGGGGGGGGGGGGGGGGGGGGCCGGAATTGGGGGAAAATATGGGGAAAAAAATG